TTTTTTTTTTTTTTGTAAAGGCAAGGTCTTGCTTTTTTGCCCAGGCTGGTCTCAAATTCCTGGACTCCAGCGATCCAACTGTATTGGCCTCCCAAAGTGATGGGATGATAGGTGTGAACCACTGTGTCCAGCTGCTTTCTGGGTTTTCTAACATCATGCTATTTCAACTCTGTTCTCTATGTACCTTTCCCTGATCACATGGTTGTGTCTTGGCATTTGAAAATACTTCACAGACTTTCTTTTGTTTGATTTTTACAATGAACTTTTATGACTAGGCATGGCCCCAAGTTCAGTTTTATAGACAAGAATTCTGTAGGTCAAGAACACAATCAATAACAGCAGGTGACAGGATTTAAACCTGGGTCACTTTACTTATTTCTTTTCCTACTCTATCATTATGTGAATCTATCCTACCTCTGCAATGACAGATGGCCCGAGAGCAAGAACACTTCCTTACATCTGGTACACAGTTGAAAAGTGAAAATTCCACACAAATAAATATGGAAAGAATTTTTACCTGCTCCTGTAGCTTCCTTTCAGGGACCTGGCACTCACAAAGACTGAGTAACCGAAAGGGGACTTATGTAACTTAACTCAAAGCAGAGAAGGTTACAGAGACTCTCTTAGCATAATATACCATGGAGTGGTCATGCCTGGATGTGCAAAATGTCTGATGGTCCTGGATGTGGCTTTACTCTGAATTACACTAGTGAGGCAAGGGGAAGAGGGACTTGGGGGAGTGGGGATTAAAGGGGAGATGCTCTGATGAAGTGGGAGAAAGACAGCTACACAGGGGAACTAAGAAGACACTGAAAGACTCCCCAGCTTTCCTTGGAAGAAGGATCAATTGCCCAGGGCAAAGCAAACTTGTTGGACCCAAAGCTCTCATTTGACAATTTTGTTGCCTAAAAATTATAAAATATCAGCAATTTCATATGGTTCAACATAATATTTTATAACCCTTCCTTTTCTTATTCTAAAATAATAATTTTTAATAATATAAGCTATACGCATACCTGCTTTAAACATCTGACTGTCATATAGTGGATATTTCAAGAAGTAAATGTTCAGCTTGTCTTCACCCTCACTTGAAGACATAATGTGTGTATTAGGCTGTTTTCGCATGGCTATGAAGAAATACCTGAGACCATGTAATTTATATGAAAGGAGGTTTAATTGGTGCAGGGTTCTGCAGGCTGTACAGGAAGCATCTGCTTCTGCGGAGGCCTCAGGGAGATTTGACTCATTGTGGAAGGTGAGATGGCAGCAGGCACCTCGTGACTGAAGCAGGAGCAAGAAAGAGAGAGGGGGCGAGGTGTCACAATTTTTTTTTTTTTTTTTGAGATGGAGTCTTGCTCTGTCATCCTGGCTGGAGTGCAGTGGCAGGATCCTGGCTCACCGCAACCTCTGCCTCCCGAATTCAAGTGATTCTCCTGCCTCAGCCTCCGGAGTAGTTGGGATTACAGGCGCCAACCACCAAGCCAAGCTAATTTTTAAAGTATTTTTAGTAGATACGGGGTTTCTCCATGTTGGGTAGGCAGGACTCGAACTCCTGACCTCGTGATCTGCCCACCTCAGCCTCCCAAAGTGCTGGAATTACAGGCATGAGCCACCATGCCTGCCTGATGCCACACACTTTTAAACAACCAGGTCTCTCTCTTGAGAATTCACTCACTGTCTCACAGACACCAAAGGGATGGTTTAAACCATTCATGGGAAATCTGCCCCCATGATCCAATCACCTCCCACGAGGCCCTACCCCCAACACTGGGAATACAATTCAACATGAGGTTTGAGCCGAGACACAGATCCAAACCATGTCAATGTATTAGGCAGATGCTTGCAGCCATATGAAGAATATCGTGGTTACCCTAGCTACAAATGCAGATGTCATTGACACAGGACGGGGCAGGGAGGTGCTGGGAGGAGAAGGGCGGGTGTCTGGCGAGGGCTCTGCCCCTGGGCCTTTGCCCACAGACCTAGGTGAGGGCAGGCACTCTTGCCTTTGCGCCCAAATGTTGCATTTCCTAACACTGCCCTGGCTCGCCATGCCCCCATCCTGTGTCGACAGAAACCCAGAGACCTTAGTGGCACTCACAGAAGCTGCTGGACATCCAGGAGATGTCAAGAAGAGCACACGGACAGGCACCAGCGGAGGCTGACAGGCCACTGACCGGTGGACAGATGTGGAGTTTGGCTGGGCGGCTGGAGGAAAGCCAGGCTGCTAAGTGGCCTGATTCCAGGGAAAAATCACCATTCCACTCCATCTCCCTTCTGACTCCTCCATCTGCTGAGAGCTACTTCTGCTCAATAAAACCTTGCACTCTTTCTCCAAGCCCACGTGTGATCTGATTCTTCTGGTACACCAAGGCAAGAACCCTGGGATACAGAAAGTCCTCTGTTCGCGCCGTCGGGCAAGGGGTCAAACTCAGCTAACACCAGTTGCCTGCAGATGGCAAAACTAAAAGACCACCCTGTAACTCACACCCATTGGGGCTTCAGCTGTAAACATTCACCCCTAGATACTGCTGTGGGGTCCGAGCCCCACAACCCACCCATCTGCATGCTCCCCTAGAGGTTTGAGCAGTAGGGGCACTGAAGAAGCCAGACACTTCTGTCACACATCCTGCGAGGGGGCAAGGGAATGTTTTCTGTTTCGTCATCAGGGTATTGTATTGGTGTCTTAAATAACACTAGCATTTTGCCATATTCCAGCTCTGGGCCAGCTCTGCTTCCTGGTCTGCCTTTCAATCTTTTCCTTGCTTCTGGCATGAGTTCCCTTCTCTCCTGAGAAACCAATGATGCATTTGAAAATACACATAGCTATACATATTGTAAAGATATCATTTAGCAAGGATGCGCCTTATTGGATGGCCTTTCATGTTGCTGGGACAGAGAACAGGGCAGTTCCAGGTGAGCGAAGCAGAGCGATCTCATACACCGTGAAAGCTAAGCAGGCAATAGCCTTTCCGGAAGTAAGCTTTTCAAAATGTATTTGTAGAAAGGCAGTAAAAGAGTAAGATGCAAATCGAACTATTTTTAGACTATCGTTTTAGGGCCAAGGAAGAAATTATGAGAATGAATTCTTTAAAAAAAAAAAAACATGGTAAGGCCTTTGCTGGTGTTTTTAGTTGAAGTAATTTAGAGATGACTAGGTATTGTTATATTTAATTCGAGTTTTTAGAATAAATGCTCACAGAAATAGAAGGCTTTGCCATTTCTTTTCCCCACAACTTTAAAAAGTAAACCGTGAGTGTTGGGTCACAATAACCTTTCTTTTTTAGTCTCGTTTTTGTGTAAATTCATCCACCAACAAATTACATTGTACTCCTTCCTCCTCTGACTACCTGTGGAAGAATGTTTATATAAATAAACCCAAAGCCCTGTCTTTTTGTCTCTTGCTTTGAGTAAATGGTAAAAAATAGATGCCTTAGTCCGGTGACTTGATTTAATACAAAGGGATCTTGTTAGAACACTTCTTTACATGGAGATATCGGAAGATTTACTTGTAACCTTCCTTGCTAAGTGAACAGTAGTAGTATTTGCTGTTTCTAAGATGTGTTGTAGTTTGAAAGATTTTGTTTGTATCATGCCAAAGTGACTGCATTAAGAAGTGCCTAGTTGGCCGGGCCTAGTGGCTCGCATCTGTAATCCCAGCACTTTGGGAGGCCAAGGAGGGATGATTAACTGAGGTCAGGAGCTCGAGAACAGCCTGGCCAATATAGTGAAACCCTGGCTCTATTAAAAATACAAAAATTAGCTGGGCTTGGTGGCGCATGCCTGTGATCCCAGCTACTCGGGAGGCTCAGGCAGAACTGCTTGAGCCTGGAGACAGAGGTTGCAGTGAGCCAAGATCGTGCCACTGCATTCTAGACTGGCCGACAGAGCAAGACTCTCAAAACAACAACAACAACAACAACAACAAAAGAAGTACCTAGTTGACTGATGACAAAATTCCTTTAAATCATTCAGCTGTTTGACCTATATCAGTGTGTAGGTGTTATACATAATTGTACATTTTGATGCTATTTTATTATGTGGCAGTGTATAGTCCCAGCATTTATACTAATTACATAGTTCTTGGAATTCCAGTTTTTCTATTTGTAAATTTGGATAGATGTCTATCATGGCTCCTTTCAAAGACAGCACTATATGTAAATGGAGGGTACTTTGATACCATTAGAGGGATGGGATTGAGATCTCAAAGAAATAGGCTACACTGCCTCTGGGGTGAGTGGGTCGTATTACGTGTAGGCCTGCAGAGTAGGACACACGACTCTGGGGGCCAAAGCTCAGGACTCTGGCCATGCAGTTGAACATTTCTGCCAGTTCCTTCCGGGTCCCGCCTTTGCAATTTCCAGCTCCTTCTCTAAATAAATGTTGAAGATATGTACACATAGCAAAGGTGTGCCAAAGTATACAGTTGCCCAGATTATTTGCACACCTTGGTTTGGCCCTGGCCAGGTGAAGGAGTTATGAGGAAATGCTTGCTGCAATGATTTCTGTCATTCATTTCTCTGTGTATATTGGCGTTAAGTGATTTTTGGCAGAGCTTAAACTACCTTGTAACTTTTCCCCTTTCTTCTCTCTTCTGCTTCTTTTTCCAGACTGCTTCCAAGATTGGATGAAGACAGTCCGTTGACAATGTTATGAAGAGAGAGATTTGGAGCGTGTTGGGGGACACCCATGTTGTCGACTTCCCTGTGCAATCTAAGATTGAGTGACAGATGTAGTTGGAAGGGAAGAGAAGACGCCTCCACCTTTCCTGTCCAGAGAAATTATGCTGGAGCCCCCGACCCAAATGAGAAAAGAGATGTTTGTGTTTCCACCATCTTTGAGATCTGACTGCTAATGTAGCTATCTTTAAGGAATTCTGCTATTTACAATAAAAGTGAGATCTCCCTCCTCCATCCTGTGTTACACACCCTGGGATTGCACCCTTGTTCCTGGTAACTTTCATTGCAGGAGCCTGCCTTTGACTTTCTTCTATCCCTGCTGCTTCTCTTTACAGAAAGTGCTGAGCTTCTTGGTGAGTGTCTCTCCCAATGGATGAATATTTAGCAGAGAATGGAGAGCTTTCTACCATAAGAATCAGGATGTGGCTGTTTGTAAAGTTACTGCATTTTTTGAAGAGTGGCTGCAATTAGTTTTGGTGTTAGGCAGCAAAAACCCCAAAATGTTCTCTTTGATTTCACATTGCTTGCACAACACGGATACCCATTTACTGGCAGAAAACTTTGTGGGTAAATGTGAGTGTGTATGCATGTGTGTGTGTGTGTGTGTGTGTGTGTGTGTCTGTGTCTGTGTGTGACTCCACACATACTTCTGGAATACCTTCTATGTGCCAGGCATGGTGTTAGTTGACATATGTGATTGAGAGTAAAATAGTCATGATCTCTGGCCTTAACCAATTTACAATCTAGGATAAAATAGACCTTCCATGTTCAAATCCACAATGACATTAATTGCAATATGATCATTGTTGTGTTTGAAGAATAGTTAGGAAAAGCACAAAGAACTTACAAGATGGCTTAACAGAAGAACGTCTTCTAGCTTAGAAGGCTGGATAGCCTCTTTTTAAGAAAGTGGTATGAGTAAGGATGAATAGGAATAGGCCAGATAAAATACGAAGCCAGGAGCTGGAGGTGGACATGGGGGAGGGAGGTGACATTGCACTGACAGAGAGGTGTCAAGCGCTGAGGAGGCTGTTGGATGTAGAGAAAGTGGAAGTGTTCTGGATTGCAGTTCTTGGTAGGTAGAATTGTTGTACGAGGGGACGAAAACAAGGCCATTGGAAAGGGAAGAAGTTGAAGGTGGGGGTGTTGGTGAAGGTGTTAATATTATTGCAGAATTATCTGAAGGGCAGTTTCCAACGTTGACCAAATTCATGCTGTGACTGTGGAAACTGGTGCTCGAGGTGAGTGATGGCCCCTATCAGTGGGTGTCAGGGTAAAGAACTGCTGGGCAAGGTGTTGATGGTAAATCTAAGTGATGTTAAATCTGCCTACCACCATGGTAGGGTTGGGTGAAAAGAAGACTGTGAGTTGGGTGCTAAATTCTTTAAGGAGTGACCAATTGATTAAGTGAGGACTAGAGGGAGAAGAGGCTTTTATTGCCATCTGCTCAAAGGAGCAACTTACAAGAGTGCAGTTGTCTACAAGTGGCATTGGGTCGTCAGGAGGACATTGCATTGGCTCTGATGCTGGGATATTTGGAGTTTGACAGAAAACATCTCCCAGCCCCCACCTGAGAGGTGAAGCAATATCCTTAGGGGACAGTGGGTTTCAGTGAAGTTGAGAAAGTGTGTGTGTGTGTGTGTGTGTGTGTGTGTGTGTGT